CACAAGAAGGGTAAATACACATAAGTTATTTAAGGAAAGAGTTTGATAGCAACACGGTTTGTGCAAATAAGGAAAGACAATCAATCAACAACCAGTAGAAAATCAGAAATTGAGTTTTGGTATGAATGAATCCAACCAGAAAAGGTGAAGAAAGGTTTAATTAAAGAAAAATCAGTAACAATCAATCGATCCTTATTAAAAGGAATTCTGAATCAATCACAAATCGGCAAAACCTTTTTTTAAGGAAGAATTCATCATATATAAAGTGTACAGACATGTGAATCATGAAAGAGTTGTCATGCTAATTAGAAAAGCCTAGCATAGAAAATTTCAGAGTCAAAGAAGTTCGAGTTCAATACAAAAACTCAAAACAAGTCTGAGAAACCTATAGTTCCAAAATAGAACCGTAGTCTCAAATACAAGATCGAAACTCGCCAAAAACCCCAAACCCTAGGGTTTTCAACTCGAGTCAGATATAGAGAAAAGAAGACAAATAACGGAAACAGGCTCAGAGGTCTTCTTTTAGGGATTCATGGATAAAATAGCAAGTTCAAGGCAAACAGAATGAAGAACTGATTTGAAGCATAGAGAACACATTTTAAGAAAGGCTTGACCTAAACAAGTTCAAAAAAGAAAAGAGGTAGTATAAACTTAGAAAAACAGTAGAGGGAACGTGTGTAGAGAGAACTCAAACAAAGTCCAGAAGAAGGCAACTAAAGACCTAAAAGCTTAGTAGAAAATACAGTAAAGGAACATAGGGGTAAATGAACACATAAGATAAACATGTGAAAGCATGATATAGAAACCAGTAGAAGAAAAAACGGAGCACAATAGAAGAACATACAAAATAAGGCAAACATAAAGATACATGAGAAGAACATGCTAAGTAGAAAGAAAAAAAACATAGCATAGACAGATACACACAAAGAAAAGAAGATGAAGAGGAAGAGAAACATTTCGAAATTTTTCAGAAACCCTAAATCGAAGAGAAACAAATTTTGAAAGAAAAAATTGGGGAAAACGTTTTAAAACTCCAGTAGAGCACAGATATAGCATAGATTTAAGAAAACAACCAGATAAAAACCTCGAATGGCTAGGGTTTCAGAGAAACCTTAGAAATGAGAGAGGCTTGGAAGAAAAGTCCGATCTTGAGTCGGATGAGTTAGAACCAGGCTCGAAATGCTTTAGATGTGCCGGAGCAAGGTTGGAGAGGCTTCAAAAACATGGATATGAGTGGATCTGAACGGACACCACTGAGGTCAGACCTCAAACCTTCGAACCCCAGACGTTTGAGAGTGGAGGGAGATGAGTACAGGCCATCCATGGCCTGAGAAGCCATGGATTCCGGTGAGGTTGTGGTCGGAGAGGATGAGAGAGGTTAGGGTTCCAGGAACCTTCGAGAGAGTTTGAGAGAGGGAGAGTATTCAAAGTCGACCAACTGATTGAAAATGAGGGAATAGGTTAGGGTTGGGGAATTAAAAAGGCAAGGGACGATCGTGGCCGTTGATTATTTTGATCAATGGCCTAGATTGAAAGAAGGACCGGGCGGGTTAATTGGTTGGGTCAGGGTTGGGTTAAAATTGAAATTGGACCGCTCCAATTGGGGGTCAAGATTGGGTCAATTGGAGGGTCAATTTTGGCTATAATTGAAATAAATTGGGGTTATATATTAAATAGCAGTTTTTCGCTTTTATTTTGCAAAAAATAGTAAAAATGATTTTGAAAATAAATTAAAAGCACTGGATTAGTTAATAACACATAAATATTAATTTAAAAATACCTGGATCCAATTTTATGATTATACAAATGCTATTAAATCTTAAAGTAAGCTAGAATTGCAATTATATGCAATTTAGCTTTAAAAATACCAAATAAATTTATAAGAAAATATATAAAAATTACATTAACTATATTTTGGTATAAATATGGGAATAAAATAAATTATTCACCAAAATTGATGATTTTGGGACTAATTATTGATTTTGTACTGCTAAAATGGACAATAAATTGATTTTAAAAATCTTTTAAAAATTGAGAAAAATACTAAAACACTTGGGCATGCTTATGTATGTGTACATATGTTATTTTGAAAGTATTTTGTATATATGAAAATTATACAGGGAAAAATTGGGTATCAACAATGCCTTTGGAACTTGTTTTGCCCTAGTCACATGTCTTTATCTGGTGCCAACTATTTGTTGACCCATATATTATCTGTGTCCAGTTACATATGTCATTTCGCCATTCATCCACCGGTCGCTAACTAATTTTACTCCATACACCTTGCACATTGTTGATGAGCATATTAAAATTAACCATTATTTGTTGTCGGTGAGCGAGTGAAAACCAACCTTGTTAAAGTCGACGGTGAACGCTGAAAACCATAAAAGTTGTACTCAAACAAAATTACAAAGAGCTCAAAGAGATAACCTCATTGCAACAAATATAAAAATTAGTTGTGTCATTTATTTCATCACTCTCCTATTACATTCTGCCTTATATTGTTTGTTGTTATTTGAACTTGTTTATTGCACCAAAAAAAAACTTGTTTAAATAAAAAGAGTAATAATTTTGTGTACGTTGTCTTCGTATAAGTAGATTTTTTACAAGCGTACAATACGCCCTTTCTTGTACTTTCAGCTACCACAAGAAAAACCTATAACGAGAGAACTCAATGAAAAATATTACTCCATCCGTTTCAAATTAGATGAGATACTTTCCTTTTTAGTTTGTTCCAAAATAAATGACACATTTCTAAATTTGGAAATTATTCAACTTTAAACTCTTTATTTAACTTATTTTACCCTTAATGAGAAGTTTTTATAACCACACAAAAATTATGGTCCCACCAAAGCTTTTACCCCTTAAGTTTTTAAGACCACAAGTTTCAAAAAAAAAAATTTACTTAAACTCCGTACCAAATCAAACTATCTCATCTAAATAAAAAAAAAAAAAGGGGGGGTAAAGTGGGTGTTACTCCCCCAAAGGAAGAAATCAGTTTAGGTTTCTGCGACCTTCCACTCCAATTATGTACAAAGGCTTGTCATAACTTGCAGTAGAAAATGTTGGTGCAGAAAACTTTCCATTCCAATTATGTAGCACTCGTGAGAGTACATATCAGGCCTTGGCCTAAATGGCCTTCGTAAATCATACTACGTCAGATTAACACGTAAATTTTCACAATATTATGATGAACTGACAAAGAGAAGAAAAAAACATAAAGAGAGAATTTCTGGCTCGCTAAAGTCCAATAAACTCGAATTAAATTACATCAACAACATGATAAGATTGATCAGAATCATGAATTGGTTGTTGTTCGTTGGAAATACGCTTACAGTTGTTCCTAATGGCGGTCAACCCATCTGGGTACTGACCGGCACTGAGCCACGCCTCCACGGTGAACGGCTGTTGGCTGCATCGTTTGTTTTCTGCTGTAGACGTGACTTCCACGTAGTTACAGTACCATCCGTGGTGATCACCTGATCCATCAGAAGTCAAGTTCATTTTACAGATTGGCCCAGTCAAACACGGACCACGGCCCGTAAACATATCCAATTGGTCCATTTCAAAGTAGTTGTAACCTGGGCCCATAAGCCCACCCCAAGCTTGTAGGTTATTGATTCTAAGGCCATGGCCATTGGCATCGTAAAGAGACAAGGTAATTTTTGAGTCAGTTCCAGACCCCCAGTATGTCCCAGTCCGAACATAAGCTGTGTATACACAATTCAGTTCCTGCATTTTCCCATCAAATCAGCAATTGCAAAATAAAATATATTATGGTACACAGTGACAAATGTATAATTTAGAATCAATGTGTTGTATTCTTACTCATATTTGTTTCATTTCTTACATATAAGGTAATTAGGAAGTAGACGCAGTGAGTTCGACGTAATCCACTGCATCTACTCTAAATCCGTCAACGTAGTAGAAGTAGAGAAAGGTGACTTACAGTGCCAGAAATGGAAGAAACGGAGATGGAGAAGAGGATGACAAGATGCAACCAGAATTGGTTAACTCGTGCCACTCCCATGGCAGCTTCTTGAAATTGTTTCTTTCTCTAGAAAATGAGAGGAAAAAGGCAAGTGCTTTTTAGATAGTGGGAATGATAGTCATAGTATGATAGTAGTTTTATTTATAGATTATATCAAAGTTCATAGGGGACAATAGTATATTGAGAGCTATAGGGTCAAAACTATATGGCGTAGGCCTACCCGTGAGCTACACTATAATAGTCCTAGTGGAAGAATAAATTGGAGTAAAAAACTCTGACTAATGGCGGCTAATTCGAGCTGCAAGGTATATACCAGACGTATTGTTGACTTATTTATACTCCCTCCATTTTATATTAGATGAGATACTTTTCTTTTTTAGTGTGTTTCAAAATAAATAATATATTTTTCAATTTGGAAATAATTCAACTTTAAACTCTTTCATTTTACCCATTTACCCTTAATGAGATGTTTTTATAGTCACACAAATGTCATGGTCCCACAAACTTTTTACTCTTAAGCTTTTTAGACCATAAATTCCTAAATTCTTTTTCTTTTTTCTTAAATTCCGTGTCGAGTCAAACTATCTCATTCAATATGAAACGGAGAGAGAGGGATAATAAATACGTGCACTTGCGCCTCTCTGTTCTATCCTAAAATGATTATCGCACTTCTATATTGTAAAGTGAAGCCAAACTTCAAATCTGCTCAGAAGCCGCCATGAGAGAGAAACATGCATGCACCCACCTAGTTAGATTTACAGGAAATACACGGAAAAATATAATGATAAGAAGAAGAGAAATTATTTGGGAAATCCCACCATCTCCTCTAGCTTGCTCAACAATAAAGGAAGATCCACGAAAGGAATGCGTTTTGTTTTTCTTTTAAAACTAATATATTGATCCCATACTCTTTACAGCTGGCAGTTCGAGTTATTAGCCGCCATGAATCTAATTTTATTCATCCACTCTCAGTATAATGTCGTCTCCTCCCCATTATAAATAAACTGTACGCTATCATACTATCACTTCCATTATCTCAAAATCATTTGCCTTTATCCTCTCATTTCTAGAGAAAGAAACAATTTCCCTTGCACAAGTAGCTGTTATGGGAGTAGCTCATCAAGTTAACCAATTCTGGTTCCCTCTCATTATCCTCCTCCTCTCCATTACCATTTCTTCTACTTCTGGAGCTGTAAGTCACCCCTCTATATATATGGTGTGTATTTATACACATGCATAGTTAAACTTTTTACTTCTCGAGAATTAATTTGACTAATCTTTAAAGCTAAATTACATTAGATCAACACAATATTTTAAAATAATATATTTATATTCAAACTATACAAAAACTATTATAAGTTGAAATTTTCCTAATGTCAATTTTATAAAAAATACATTTTAAAATATTGATCATAGTTTGAGTTTCAAGTACCACATAAAGCAACAGAATCTGCTACTTTGTCAGTCCTAAAATACCCTCATGTTTTTATCATTTTGGATTTGCATTTTGCTCTTGCTGATTTAATAGGAAAATGCAGGAATCAAATTGTGTGTACACAGCTTACATTCGGACTGGGCCATTCATGGAGGATGCAACTGACTCAAAAATAAGCTTGACTCTCTACGATGCGAGTGGCTATGGAATTAGAATCAAGAACCTAGTGGCTTGGGGTGGGCTTATGGGCTCAGGTTACAACTACTTTGAAACGGACCACTCAGATATGTTCAGTGGCCATGGACCATGTTTGACTGGGCCGATCTGCAAAATGGTCTTGACTTCTGATGGTACAGGCCGACAATCCGCGTGGTACTGTAGCTACGTGGAAGTCACCTCAACAGGAGACCACAAACAATGCAGTCAACAGCTGTTCAACGTGGATCAGTGGCTTAGCACCGATCGTTCGCCGTATCAGTTGACGGCCACAAGAAACAACTGTAGGCGTATGTCCGGTGACCAACAACCCATTGTTGTTGATGTAATTTAATTCGAGTTCATTGGGCTACTTACAAACCATATATAGAATTTCTCTCCTTCTCTCTTTGTATCTCTCTTTTTCAATTATATACCAGTGTGTGGCAATTTTATCATCAATCCAATGTTGTGAAGCCCATTTAGGCCAAGGCCTGATGTGTACGCTCATGAATGCAACATTCTGGAAAATAAAGAATCGGACCTCTCTTTTCCTTCTGTTTTTCTTACCTAATTACATGTCTTGCTGTTTCTTTATTCATCCAACCACCAATAGAAACAAAACATTGAGTACAAAATAATTTTTGTCAGGAAATAAAAGTAAATTAGTAAAATATAAATAAGAAACAGAGATAGAAAGGAGTTTTTCACTCCTTCTGGTGTGTCTTTCCATTGCCATTTACACCGCTTTTTATAGACATAAAAATATAAAGACTTACTATTGCAAAATAGTGCACTAGATGAACATAAAGTATGAGAATCCATCCATAAGCTATTCAACTGCATGGGCATCCATATCTACAAACTATTCATAACAATATTTGAATTTTCCTGTAACAACCCGGTCGGTCGTATTGTGTAATTGTGCTCCATTTTCCCTTTTTATGCTTCACACGTGTGTGTTTATAATTTCATGACTTGCGGGGTCGATTAGTTTTGTAGTGGGGAGCTTTCGGGTTGATTCGGACCCTTGATGCTTGACTTAGAGATTTAAATTAGAAAACGTTAATCAAACTTTAACTTTTGTGAAAACGACCCCGGAAGTGTATTTTTAATGTTCTGATAGATTTGTATCGTGATTTCGGGCGTATGCCCGAAATTGATTTTGGAAGTCCGCAGGTTGATTTATGTTGATTTGCCGAAATTTGGCAATTTGAAGTTGAAAAGTTTGACACTAGGTTCAATTTTAGCTTTCGAACTCGGAATTTAATTTTGGGACTTGGAATAAGTCCGTCATGACATTTAGAACTTGTCTGCAAAATTTGGTATCGTTTGAAGTTGATTTGATAGGATTCGGACATTTATTTGTAATTCTATAAGTTCTTGAAAATTTCATTGAAATTCATGCATTTAAGAGTCAATTCGTAGTTTTGAGAAGTTATTTTTGTGTTTTGATCGCGCGAGTGAGTTCGTATGATATTTTTAGGCTTATGTGGATGTTTGGTTTGGAGCCCCGAGGGCTCGGATGAGTTTCGGACACGTTTCGGAGTGTGTTGGACTGAATTCTGCAAAGACTGGTGCCTGGTGCCCTCTGGTGTCGCAATTGCGAACACTATGGATCCTACAAGTATTGCAAATGCGATTCCTTGGTCGAAATTCTGGGCTTGGCTAGGTCCCATTTGCGATGGTTTTGTCTTAATTGCGAGGGCAGCAGGGTTCGCAATTGCGAATCCATATCGCAATTACGATAACTACAGCAGAACATAAGGGCTGAAAGTCAGGATTTTATCTCTCATTCTTACAGTTTTGAACCCTAGACTGATGGTGGCGATTTTGAAGAAGGATATTCACCTACAAACCTTGGGTAAGTAATATTAATCTATTTCTAATCGTATTCCAACATCATATCTTAGATTTAAACATCAAAATCATATGAATCAGAGTGAAAAATTGTGAAACTTTGTCAAGTTTTTGAAAAATGAGAATATGAGTTTTGAAAGTCGATTTAGACTCGGATTTTAAAACTAATCACATATATGAACTCGTGAGGCCATGGGTGGACGAAATCTACTATTGGACTTGGGTTTTGATGGAGCGAGCTCCGGGGTGACTTTTGTTGACGCTTTGAAAAAAGTGTAAAGATCAAATCTTTATTTATTGTAATTATTTTCTCTTGCATTGGTTGATGATATTAAGTTAATTTTGAGTAGATTTGAGCCGTGTGGAGGCAAGTTCTAAGGGAAAAGTGATTTTTGAGGGTTGAATTGGCCTAATCGAGGTAAGTGTCTTACCTAACTTCGTGTGGGGGAAACTACCACTTAAGATTTGTATTGTTTGATTCAATTGCACTAAGAGAAATCTGTGTACGCAAGGTGACGAGTGGGTACACGGGTTGTACGTGGTATTTGTGCAGTTTAGGTTACTTAGACTATTTCTATGCTTAATTGAAATGCCATATCATGTTCTAAATTCTCTTAGTCAATCTATTCTTACTAGTGTTAGTCCATCCTTACATGCCTTAAATGATTTCGTCAACACTTGTTCTACCTCCTAACTAATAATTTTCTCTCATGCTTTAGTTGAACTTATTGTCTCTTTTATTGTCACATGCTATCTCTTCATTGTTGATTATCATTATTTGAAGTCATTATACATGTTCTCTTTTGTTGTTGATTATCATTATTTGAAGTCATTATACATGTTATCTCTTTTGTTGTTGATTATCATTAATAGAAGTTATTGTTCATGTTACCTCTTTCATTGTTGATTACCATAATTCGAAGTTATTGCTATACGTTATCTCTTCCATTGTGAGTATATCTTATTTAACACTGTGGTTATGTGTTGTCTCTCATTGTTGATTTATTGGTGTTGAAGTGGTGAAAGTCGTTATCATGTTGAGGCGAAATTGTTATTGTTGAAACATCTTCATTTGAGCATTTTACTTTCATTTTTGTTGTTGATATTCTTGTACCCGCTATGGAGGAGCCGTGGGCTATTGTTGTAAAAATATTAATATTGTGGATTGTTGGAAAATTGTGATATATGGGCACATGTGGTGCGAGTTGTTATTATAATGTGATATTGACGTGCATGCGCCAGTATAAGGCTTGGAGTTGATGTGCATGTGGCGGTATAAGGTGGGACTTATGTGCGTGTTGCTTATAGGGGAATTACATAAAGCCACGCAGCATCATAAGGTGGGCTAAAGTATGTGTAGCTATTTCGAAAAAACTATTTTCAAAACCTATTTCAAATATAAGGCTCACGCAGCGGTATAAGGAAAGATTATGATTGAAATTGAGAATTTTGAATACGATAGGGTACCTTGATTGTGATTCTTGATTTATACGAGGCGGTACCTCGGTGGTGATTCTCATTGAATACAAGGCGGTACCTCGTTGTGATTCTTGTTGTTTACCTCATTTTGCAAGTAGTTTTGGGTAGCAACTTTTCTTGTGGTTTTGTTCTTTCTTGTTTAGCAGTTATTGTCAGTATATGATCACTTGGGTTCTCTTAGCAGCTTCCTTATGTTAATTCCATGTTTAAACTTTCGGCATTAGTGTCACGCCCCAACTTCGGGAGGCGCGACCGGTGCTCAACCGGGTAACCCCAGTCAAGCGGACCTAGGTGCCTTTCCTATTTCACGTGTTACCCCGCATTTTTATTATCCGTTAACCAAGTAAAATTATCCATTTATGATATAAACATATTCTTACGAGATTTACATAATATACATGGTTACTTAGCGTGGTTTACAAGTTACATTGCCCATATACAAAATACCTAAGTACATAACCCACATTTCCTGTCTACGGAGCCTCTAGGGATACAAAAGAGTGTTACAATACCTGCCGGCAACAAGGCTCCGGCTATACCTTACACAAATACCAAAATAAGACTCCGGAAGAAAAGCGGCATGAGCCACGCAGGGCCTCGAGAGGAAAGGGGCTCACCAATATAGCTGACGGAAAGTGGAGGAGTGCTATTGTTGGTGGACTGGAGTACCTGCTATAGAACCACTTACAATCATAACACGAATGTAGCGCCCCTGACAAAAGGGACGTCAGTACATTTAAATTGTACTGGTATGTATGAACAAACTTTACCCCAAGTAAAATCAAGAAATACACAGGTAACAAACAGTAATAGAATCAACAATCCAATGCACATGAAAGGAACAACCAAAGCCAAACAAGTTCCACAATCTCTCATTTTCCCCTTTCAACATTATTTCATCACATCAATGATTTCACAACTTTCACATATTTTCATTTCAATAGTGATTTCGATCACTTTTCTACCCTTATTACCTCGGCCACCCTTATTACCTCGGCCACCCTTATCACCACAACCCACACCTTATAACTTCATGTTGCGGCGTGCAACCCGATCCCACCGGAAAATTTCATTTCATACGACAACACAACAATTCACAAAGAATTTTCATAGACATCAATACCATTTCCATCATATGCAATAGTCCGTATACAATTTAAGTCACAACGATAATTTCCCGCAACGAGTCACGTATGATATTACCATAGTTATTTCAATTGCATCAATTACGATTTCCTTCCATCATTTGTTCCACAGTTCTTACCACATGAACACATTCACATACACACCTGGTTTGTTACCATTTACTTACACCATTATATCGCGAGACTTAACCAACGACGTTCAAAGCATATTAATCACGAAGAGTCATCATTTCAAGGAAGCACAAGTTCATATCAACAATTCATACATTTGGGCCCAAGACACCATAGATATCACCAAGCAGTAATTCATGTACAAGGTTTTGTCGTAATCGTTCAACTTATTTACATCATTTCACAATACCCTCTTTCATTACTTACCACGCAGGGTTTTAGCCATTATACACATTCCCATATTTGGACACATTAACGTTCTTTCGTCTGTTAACACATACTCACATATCTTCATCCTCAAACATTTACAAGCTTAGCACATGATAAGGTAGGCACATCAAATCACTTTTCACAATCACATATAACATGATGGTGTGGAAATCAACTGAGACAATCAATACACATATTTTCATACAAGGTACACATACCG